TTTTTTTTTTGAGAGTTTCAGTTTGTTGCCCTTGAGAGAGTACTGTGACATCATAGCTCACAGGAACCTTAAACTCTTGGGCTCAAGCAATTTTGTCTTGCCTTAGCCTCCTGAGTACCTGGGAATATAGGTGCCTGCCACAATGCCCAGCTATTTTTAGAGGTGGGATCTCATTCTGGCTCAGGCTGGTCTTGAACCTGTGAGGTCAGGCAATCCACCTGCCTCGGCCTCCCAGAGTACGATTACAGGCATGAGGCACCATGTCCAGCCCTAGTTTTTTTACTTTTAGTAGAGACAGGATCTTGGTCAGGTTGGCCTTGAACTTGTGAGTTTAAGTAATCCACCCATCTCAGCTTCCCAGAGTGCTGGGATTATAGGCATGAACCACCTCACCCATCTGGGTTTGTGCTTATTTCAAAATGACAAATTCCATTATTTGAGCATCTTCAGGTCTCACATACAACCTTTCTTCAATCACAAATCCTTTCTGCCCTTGCTGTGCTCACATGAACAATGGGGACAGATGGGAATGGCTGATACAAAGCAGGTGCTTCTGGTTCAGTGTGAGGAGGGATGTGAATACCTGTGGCTGATGGTCCTTTGGCTGAGAAGTGTTTGTGTTGTGATGGGCCTGGATACAGGAGGTGAGTAGCAAGAAGCTCCTTGTAGGGTGTTAAATGCTCAAAGGTAGAGCAGCAAGGTGTGCACCTGGGTGTGTGTGCATTCATGTGCACCTGCAGACATGTGTTCTATAAAGGGAACCCTTAGTCCTGTTGGACTGGCATCTCCATGAGGTGCCACTTAAAAGTGTCCTGTGAATGCCTCCTGCTCCTGCTTCAGTGTTTGCTACCAGTGATGGGCACCAACAGCTACAAAGGGGCCAAAGGACAGGGCTGATCTGAGTGTCTAGCACCTTACCTTTCCGGTAGCTGTCTCTGGTGGTACCTGGAGCTGACCCCCCCCACAGCCTCACCTGGAGGCTGGAGGGGTGTAGCAGGAGGTTGTGTAGCAAAAGACAGAGAGAAGAAGAACAATGGCCACAGAAACTGCTAGCAGAGTGGAGGACGCAAGAACTACTGAGCCTTAGCAGAAGCCTGAACACACCAGGATTGGTGAGTGGGGCCAACAGCTGCCACGGCCAAGAGCTATACCATTTATGACAGCAGGAAGGGGCCTCCCAACATTACCTTTAAGCCTGGGACTACAGAGGCATGAGAGGTGCAGCAGGCTCCCTGGGCTCCTAAGACATGTGTGAGGCTTTGGCTGACCTGGCTGCACCCATCCAGCATGTGAGTAAGGGTGGCCCAGCATCTTGGGCAGATGTCTGCGGTCTGGGGAGGCCAGACCATCAGCATGTGATAAGAGCATACAAGGAGGTACAGGATGCCAGGATTACTGAAGCTGGTAGCAGGGATAGGGGCAAAGCATAAGGGCACCTCTAGGCAGCTATGAGAGCTTCCAAGTGACCCCTCATTTAACCTCCAGCAACTCTCATTTAACAGATAGGAAAAGCATGTATAGACAAGTCACAGAATTTTTTGGACTGTGTGAGCAGCATTCCATGCTGCTCGGCTAGGCCCAGGCCCTGGGGTTCCTGTGGGAAACAGAGGTGGTCAAGTTCCTGACTTATGAAGCCTCCTTTCCAAAGGATGAGATATCCAAATTAAGGAAGCAGATGGGACAAACAAAAGATGGGACACTTGGGGAAAACAGGAACTTTTCTGCATGGAGGGCAGTACTCTGGGGTACTCCTGAAGGGCACATTTGCACAAAGCCTCAGAGGAGGCTCCAAGTGATGTGGGTAGTTAGAAGTGACTCTAAGGCTGCCTGGAGGGAATGAGGGCCAAAGCCTGCCCTGAGTGAGGCATCTAACCTGGCAGGTAGGGTAGATGTGGCCGTAAAGGGACCTCCTAGCAATAGGGCACAGGGCTCATGTCTCCCTGAACCACCCTCGCCTCTCCAACTCAATGTGTCAGCCTCTGTGTGGGGGCTATGCCCCCAGACTCTCAGAGAGGACATGAAATGTACACACCTCACCAGTAGCCCTCTTCCCTAAAGAAGAATTAGCCTCCACCCCTATTGCCAACCTGGCCACTAAGCAAGAAAACTTCAGGTGGAGAAAAAGATTTTCCTTTTGTGCCTGCCCCCAGGAACTGTGCTGGTGTGAATTGGGGAGACTGGCAAGGTCCCACATGGGCCTCAATCTGGTCCCCCATCAGACCCCTGATGCCTCAGGCCTTCCAGGTGCAGAGTTCCTTCCTATCTGAGGAAAGGAAGTTGATGAAAAGCCCGTGTCTGGAATAAGGCATTAAACATAAAATCAAGCAATCTGCCATCAGAATTGTGAAGAAAAAAGGTGGCACTTCACCTGCTCACTGAGCTCAGGAAATGCACTAAGTGGCTGGCCCACAACACAGGCCCTGCGTACGTCCCAAACGCCGTTAGGAACATGGCTGGGATTTCCACATAGGTGTCTAAGCCAACGAAGCCCGCCGAGATGTCCACGGTGGCAATGTTGTTGGAGTTGCCCTGAGAGAAGACAAGAAAAAAGCAGACATGGGTCTCACAGGACATGGTACTAACCTCCACAGGGGTGGTGTGGAATCTCACTGGCAAGTACACATATGGGCCTGGTTGGCCTTGCACAAGCTGACCCTCTACCTGCCTGCATTGCTCCAGGTTGAGCAGGAACAGGTGAGATGGCCAGTGAAGAAATGAGTGGTCCCCAAGGAGCCATGCACATGTCTACCTGTTATGGGCTGTGATATCTCACCCCTCATCCAGACCCATGGACCTTCCACAAGACAAACACATGGCCTGCCCCTTGACAAGGGCCTGTTGTCAGAGGGTGGTTGTATATGTGGGTCTGGAAGGCACAGCTCCCCAGCCTGGCCAATGGGGCAACACTGGGCCAAAGACTGAAGAGTGGCCACATGGCTGGGTCCTGTTTGATAGTGACACAGTGGCTATGTTGTGAGTTACTTGCAGAGGGCAAGCCAGATGCTGGGGCGGACGGAAGGCATGGCCCTGTGGTGCAGATGGGGGCCCTGTGGTGCAGATGGGCACCCTGCAGCCAGCTTGTCCATCAGGCCTGTGAGCACTGCCTCCATCTGACTGTTGCCAAGACTCTGGTCAATTATGGCTGAGCTCTGGTGGGTAAAGTGCCATGGGACACAAGGTCAATGCCACACAGCTTCACCCTGCATGTGAGTGGCAGTATTTGGGATCTAAGAAAAGGATCCCCAGCTGGACACAGTGGCTCATGCCTGTACTCCCTGCAGTTTAGGAGGATGAGGTAGGAGGATCACTCAATGCAGAAGTTTGAGACCATCCTGAGCAATATGCTGAGACCCTGTCTCCACAAAAAAAAAAA